CAGAGCTGGTCTCTGCAGGAAGAATACATTGAAACAGAGTGAGTCAGAAGGGGTCTCCTGGGCCATCTAGTCTGACCCCCGGCTCCAGCCAGCTCCATTCATGACATGCCTCCAATGTGCATGACCATCCTATCCTTAAAAACCCTCGCTGATGGGACCTCAACCACTTCACATGGAAGCTCATTCCATATTCTAGGGGACCTAACCGTCAGGAAGTACTTCCTGATATCCACCCTAAATCTTGGTTCCCTGAGCTTTGCTCCATTGGAACATGCCCTGCCCTCCACTGCAGAGGAAAAAAGGTAGTGTCCCACATCTGTGTGGCACCCCCTCAAGTACCTGTATGTTGCTAACAGGTCCCCTCTAAGTCTCCTCCTCTCAAGGCTGAAAAGACCAAGCTCCCTCAGTCTCTCTTCATATGGCTTTCCCTGCAAACCAGCCACCAACCTTGTGGCCCTTCGCTGCACTGATTCCAACTTTGCTATATCCCTCTTGCAATGAAGGGCCCAGACGCGAGCAACATACTCCAGCTGCGGGCGCACCAGAGTTGCATAGAGCGGCAATAATACCTCTCTTGATTTAGAAGCCACGCTTCTGGCTATGCATCCAAGTGTGGCTTTTGCCCTCTTGACCGCCACGTCACACTGCTGGTGCATGTTCACCTGCAATCAACCAGCACCCCGAGGTCCCTTTCACAAGTGCTGCTCTCCAGCCACTTGACTCCTAATCTGTACATATGACACCCATTCCTACACCCCAAGTGAAAGACCTTGCACTTATCCATGTTGAACGCCATCCTGTTGTCTCCTGCCCACTTCCATAGTCTGTCCAGATCCTTTTGGATCTGGAGTACCTGCTCCTCAGTTGTAGCCACTGCTTCAGTTTTAGTGTCGTCTGCGAATTTGATCAGCAGACTGTTCGCCCCTTCTTCCATGTCATTGATGAAAAGATAGAATAGGATCAGTCCCAAGACTGAGCTCTGGGGAACCTCACTCATCACTGTCCACCATCCTGATGGTTCCTCACTAATGGTTACCCTCTACTAATGGTTACCCTCTGCTTTCGGTCAGTCAACCATGCCCTAAGCCACCGGACAGTGCTTTGGTGTATCCCAAAACTCCCCAATTTCTCCACCAGGATATCATGGGGCACTTTGTCAAAGGCCTTGCTGAAACCCAGGTAAACCACATCCACTGCATACCCTCCATCCAGCCATCTCGAAACCTTGTCTTAGAATCCCACAAGGTTTGTCTGGCAGGACCCCTTTTTGTGGAAACCATGTTGTGTGACTGCCAACCTCTCTTCCCGATCTAGGGACTTCAGAGAAGTTTCTATTATGAGCCTTTCCATTGTTTTTCCCACAATGGACAAAAGGCTAACTGGTGTATAATTTCCCATGTCCCCTCTGCTACCCTTTCGGGATTGGGACCACTGATGCCAACCTCCAGCCCTCTGGAACTTCACCCGTTCTCCATGAGGCCTCAAAAATGGAGGGCAGCAGACATGAGAGTTCCCCTGCCAAGCCCCTAAGTACCCTCAGGTATAACCCATCAGGGCCTGGTGCCTTGGTAATGTCCAGTTCCCTGAGGAGCTCCTCAACTTCTAGTCTGTGCCCCTAAATCCCCAGCTTCATCCGATATTCCCTCCTCTCATCACCTCCTGCAACCCTCGGTGAGGGTGTTCAAAGATAGGCTGGACATGCACATGGTGGGCATGTCGTGAGCGGAGCCGGCTGGAGCCGGGGGTCAGACTAGATGGTCCAGGAGACCCCTTCTGACTCGCGCTGTTTCTATGTTTCACTTGGTTTCCTACCAAGTCATGGGTTCATGACAGTTTATTTTGTGTCCTTCTTTTCTTCAATCACATCTCTCCTATTGACCACCTATCTTTAACAATCTGCTTTTGTCATCAACTTCTCTGTCTCCATTTCTTCCATTTTGGCCAAAACTATTGTGGCGTTTCTGGCCTTCATGGCCACCAAGCCAGGAAACATGGCAAATCAGCTCTTGGGGAGACCACTGGCAACCTACATTGTGTGGTCAGTCCCCTCATCCAGGCTGTGCTGTCTGGTTGCGGACCTCTCCCCTTTTCCCAAATCTGGACTGCTGTACCTGGCTGGAGAGATCATCATGAAATGTAAGGACAGTTCGCCACCATGCTCTACATCAACTCAGGCTACCTGGGGTTTCCTCTTCCTCATCAGTTTTATGGTGCTTTTCCTAGCAAGAGAAGTACCTGAGAGTGTTAACAAAGCCAAGCTCATCGCCTTCAGCATGCTGGTCTTCTGCAGCGTGTGGGTCTCCTTTGTGCCCACCTGCCTGAGCACCAAGGGGAAGCTCATGGTGGCCGTGGAGGTCTTCTCCATCTTGGCCTCTGCGGCTGGTCCCCTGGCTTGCATCTTTCTCCCCAAATGCTGTATTATCAGGCTGAGGCCTGATCTTAACACCAGAAGCCATTTAATAAGGAAAATTCAGTAAACAACTCACTTGTTGGAGAACACCCCAAAGCTGACTTTCTTGTCAAGTATATGTTTTAAAAGCAGCTAACAGAATTAGGCAACATTTCATCTTCCGGGTTACTTGTTCAACAGCAGATTCCCTTCCTCACTGGGCCCATTGCACATGGCACACACTTTCGGGGGTTCCCAGGCTTGTGTGCAGCTCTGTGCACTCCCTATTCCACCACTGAATTGTGAAAACCTCCCACAACGCCCACCTGACATGCTAGACATAGTGGGGCATCCTGCCCATGCTTCCAGCACCAGGAGACAAGCGCTGCCCGACTCCTGGGGGCATCCAGAGCTGGGTGCAGGCCTGAGTGTTCCCGGAGAGGCCTCTTGTTGGCTGCCCAGGCAACCTTAACTATGGGGCAGCACAGGGATGAAATTCATTCCTTCAATTAGCTGATGGCCATTTGGGCTGTCTTTGAGAGGTCCCGCATCTCCACACCACAACAATCCAGAGATTGGCCACTTCACTGAACTGTTGGGCAAATGACTGGACGTGGTGGCAATCCCATCGGTCCTTGCCAGGAGACCCTCCTAATTGGGCCCGGAGGATTTGATGACTTCTGAATTTGCAGGCCTTTCTTCCAGACATGCCACTGCACTGCTACAATCAGGAAACACCCCTTTTCTTTTTCACCCAACAATATCCTGGCAAACATTAGCCCGAGCCTGGTCCCCATCCTGAATGGTGGTGGGGGGGGGGCAGAAGAATGCATGGCAAGGGGCAGAAAATGGCAACTTGCTTCGGGCCCCCACTGCAGAAGAGAAAGGAATGATGCAACACTGTTTTCCGCTGCTGATGTTCTCGGGTGTGCTTATTTCTCTGCCCTGGAATTATGGAACTGACAGAAGTTCTTCATCAATTCCACAGGGATTTCAGTCCAGGTCAACAACACAGAAATCCCAGAGAAAGCACACCTGGTGCAAATGGGAACTGGGCCCCTCCCCGTGAGGTCCAGTCACTCGGGATCTCGCATCCCTCCCGGCGATCCAGTCCCCTGCTGGGCTGGGCCGCCAAGTGCCTGCTTGCCTGTGTCTCTCTGGCCGGGGAGGCCAGGGACGCTGAGGATCCTGCTGGCCTCGCTGCTGCTTGGCTCCTGCCTCAGGCCGCCCAGAGGATGCTGAGGACCAGCTGTGCTGTGAGCCGGCTGTCTGCACCAACAGACTGTTACAGGCCGGGAGGCCCGATTGTTGGTGGGAATTTACTACGCGGGAGCTACTTCTGTAGTAAAGGAACTGACTTCCAGACATCTCCCGGGTTCAACCGTGCTGTTAATGATATGTAGGCTTCCCTCAAAGGGATCTGGGATGTATGTTTGCATGTCTGCTTTCACACCAAGGGGCCATGTCAAAGATGCTGCACTGGAGGAAAAGGTGGAGCCCCAGAGCCCCAGAGCCTCGCCAGGAGGGCCCCCGACCAAAAGGGAGGCCAGGCTTGGGGCTTCTCCACCGGCCTCGTCCCGAGGGGTGCTGGGCAAGCAGCAGAGCAAGAGGGAACCAGCGGCCTGTTCTCCTGTTGACAATCCCTTGCAGATGACGTGCCTCCCTGCCCCTCGCAGGCTCCCTCCGAGACAGGGCTGGGCAGGTGGGGCTCTGCTCGCAGGTTGTCACCCTTCTGGATCTGCTGAATCGCTTGAGCTCCAGGAGCGGCTCAGCAAGCCCTTCCGATTACCAGCTCCGACAAAAGAGCGCCCAAAGCATGCACCACCAAAGAGGAGAAAACGGGGAAGTCTGACTGGGTTTTTGTGTTTGTCCTCTGGGCTCAAGTCGACCTCCTTGGCCACAACAGTCCTCAGAGCTCAATCCGTTGGCTTCATGCCCTGGAGGTGCTCAAAACTGGATGCTTTGGGCAATTGCTGCTCCGAGCGAGCAAGCCACCACCTCCCTGCCCATGCAGCAAGCTCACGGGTGGGGAACAGCGGCGTGGGCCAGATGGATGGCCTTGGCGGGCCGGGTCCATCCCGCAGGCCATAGTTTGAGGACCCGTGGTATAAAGTAACTTTCCTGCATATTAAACTGTAGACCGCAACATGGGGCAACTTACAACTTTCTGTAACTACTTGGAAATGGATCTGAGGAAGCTTACTAAAACAGACACAACCAAAGAGCTTTCCTCTTTCAGCCTCTCCTGCTATGGGTGTCAGAGGATCACCTTCCCTGTTTCCTAGAGTGTGTGAGGCTCATTCTCCCTTGGTCCTTTGGAAGAAACAAAACCATGGTGGTGCTAGTCCTCATGGCCTGACATCAAGAGCTGATTTAAGCAGCATCACCAGGGATGACTGAGGCAGGCGAGCCTCTCAAGGTCAGTATCTAACAGGTCTTCTCCAGGAGTGTAGAGGGGTCCAATGCTGGCCCCAGGAGGCTGTTCTGGACCAAACGAGCCCCAGAGCCACCCGCTGTTTTTCCCCCATGCCCACCAGCCACACAAATGTCTCATCCGCCACGGAAATGCTTCCTGGGTGAGCAAGTTCAAGATACAGGACTTGGTTCCAAGTTAACATTTTTAGAAACTTTATTGGGTGAGCCTTGGTCAAAATATCTAAACCCCAAACTCTAAGAGCAGTAAGGGAGAGGGTGCCCCATGCAGGAAAATGTTCCATCTGCAATCCATTTGAGACCAAAAAGCATTAAAGGCAGAAAGGCCAGGTGTGTTTTTCCTATAGACTTTCACAGTACCCCCAGAAGGGATGGCAATTTTTAGTTTTCTGCTGACCTGCAACACCATCCAAGGTGGTCTCAGGCACCCCCAGGCCTCCCGGTACAGGTGCTGGGGCAGAGGAGTGCCGCTTCGCTGCCCCAGGAGGCACGACTCCCTTCCCGCCCTGGCCTGCGTGTGGAACCCTCCCTTCTTCCAAGACTTATTTCCCTTTGTTCTTTGTGTGACCAAGAACATCTGGGTGGAAGCAGTAAGTGAAAAGAAAAAAACTTTGGGCCAGTCCAAAGCCAGAATATTTGACACAGAAACCAACACACACAGAACAGGGACCAGTGAACGGGGCCAAAGGGGCAGACATAGAACCCATAGACACTGGACATCAAATGAGCCTGGGAGTCCTAACCCACACAGCTGCACGTGCCCCAGAGAACATCCAGGGCCCCACATGCAGCCTCCGCAGCAGCATCCGCATGCAGAGCACCTGCCCCCACCATATGGGTGCAGGTTGGCTGCGTGCCATGCGCCCCTGGTTCCTGGGGCGGCCCTCATCCCCTGACCCAGGCCGGATCCCAGGCACATTCGCCTGCAAGCAAGCCCAGGAACACAGGAAGCCTCACTTGCAAGCAAAGGTGTGCAGAGCCTACACCAAGCAAGCCGAGCTGGAAGGACCCCTGAGAAGCTGAGCAGGGAAGGCTGCCTTTGCAACTGGCTCCCAGGAGCAGGTGGATCGAGGGCGGGTCAGTCTGCAAAGAGCAGGGCCACCCTGGAGCAATGGCTGCCTGCGTGCCACCATCTAGGCACGTGCTTGCCAAGAAAAGAGACCGGTTCCAGCCCCTTGGCCCAGCCTGCCCTGCCTTTCCTTCCCCAGAACCGTTTGGAGGTAGAAAATGACCTTATGTTTCCATATTGGCTCCCCATTTTTGTGAAGAAGTATGGAATTGGGCAACATTTTTGGAAAGAGCAATTGAATCGCAATTCATTGCTTCTTTCCCCCCATTTTCCCTCTGTTGCTCCAAAAATGTGTCCCCTCCCCCCACAGAGTTGTCTTCCCCGACCCGGCACTCTCCAGATACTCAGACTGCTACACCCAGCTGGCAGGGAGCTGCAGTGCAGCGCATCTGGGGGGTGCTGGGCAAGGGAAGACTGACAGAAGGCTGCCAGCCCTTAGGCCACCCAGCTTGTGCTCCCGCCCCCCCGCTGCAGGCTTCCTCTCTCACACAGCTGGCCACAGCAAGACGGACGTGGCGTCAGTTCTGCAGAATGGCAACTGCCAAGAATGATCGTGGGTGAGCGGCGTGGCTACGACCAAGGTCAGAGAGGAGGGACTTGCATGGCCAGGGAGGGGGCGGCCCACGGCTCACCCACTGGGCTCCACCACCAGCCCTTTGCTGGCCAGGAAGGCATCCTGCTTCGGGGCTCGGCCAAGGAATCTGAGCAGCATGTCGGAGGCATCCTGAGAGCCCCCCGGGCAGAGGATGCAGGTGCGATAGTCCATCCCCACCTGCAAAGGGTTAAGGCAGACACTCAGCATGGCACAGTGCTTGGAAGAACCAGGAGACCCACCTGCCTCCAGTGAGGTGGGACAGAAACAGAACAAGGGCCAGATCCCATCGCAGAGACGGGGCAGGGCCCAGAACACTTTCCAGCCCGGAACGAAACCAGACAGCAAAAAGGGAGGGTGCCCAGGTAGAAGAGTTTCTGCACATCAGCAAGCAGGAAAGGGAACTGCTGGACACCCTCCGCCCACCCTGCAGAAGGAAGGGCATGTGCTTGCTCTACCTTGGGGTTCATGATGCCCTCCTGCTTGAACCGGGTGTAGAACATGTCCATGGAGTAGACCTCACTCCAGAGGTAGCCGTAGTACTGGGCATCGTAACCTCCTGCTAAGTGGCCAAATGTGGCTGGCATGTTTGTACCTTTGAAGAGGAAACAGAAGAAAAAACCCCTAGCAGTCCCCTCTGGCGAGATCACTCATGCCTTCTGTGCGAGGCAGCCCTGAGAGACAGCCTTATTTCGGCTGCTAAAAAAATGCCAGGGCCTGATGGCTTTCAAACGTCCCACATCATTTTCGAATTGTCTGCACCACTTGGTTCCTGAACCCAGTTCAAGATGCTGGATTTGGCTTATAAAGCCTTAAATCTGGGACATCCCATCTCTTTCCACCTGAGGGTTTCTGGAGAAGCACTCAGAAGCGGGGTGCATTGGTGGCCAAGCCCAACAAGGTGGGACTAAAGGACTGGGGAACTTCTATAGCGCCACAGGAAGCTTGGCAGAACAGCAGCAGTAGAGAACTGGAGTCCAAGGCCAGTCTGAAGCGCCCTTGGTCTCCTGCTTGTTACCTGGAGTCGCTGGGACACCCAAGATCTCATCGCAAAGCCTGGCGTACTCTTCCGCAGCATCGACTTCCATCCGTGTGTGCAAGGCCTGGTCGACCTTGGCCAGGACAATCTGCCGCAAGTTGAACAGTCCTGCGCACAAGAGCAGAAAGCAGAGAAGTGGCTGAGCAGCCTGTGAAGGGGTCTCCGACTGCCGGGCTCTGGGAAGAGGGGCAGGGCAACGGCAACTTGGAAGAGCCATGGCGCTGCATGCGAAACAACCCAGGTTTGGTTTCTGGTGTCTCGAGGAATGGCCGGGGAAGAGTTGGTGAAGAAACCTGTGAGAACGACTCTCTGGCAGATCTCGAGAAACCAGGGCCCAAGCCAGTGCCAGGGCACTAACATCTTTAGCCTAAGCTTCAGAAGCACACACTGCAGGTGGACAAGTCCCAGTCCACTCTTTGCAACATTTACAGGTAAGGCCAGGAAGGCGCTCCAAACGAAACGATGGATATGTGCAGCTGCCCATCATGTTAGACCAGGAGAGGGCAACCCAGGGGCTGTTGGGACAAGCCCAGCCCACCTCTTGGGGGCTAATGGGAGCAAGCTGTGTGCTCCCCACCTGTGTTGGCCTGGCGCGATCGGATAAGCTTTCCCAGCAGCTCATCCGGGATGGGGCTGCCGGTCTTGTAGTGCTTGGACATGCGCAGCAGCGGTTCTTTCTCCCACACCCAGTTTTCCAGCATCTGCGAGGGGGCCTCCACAAAGTCCCGTTCCACGTGGGTCCCACTGAACATGGCAAAATCAGCCTGCCAGGAAAAGAGAAACAAGGGCTCCCACATTAATTGATCAAGGTTGCTTGGGCAGCACTGGCCAGGGAACTTCCCAAGCCGTTTAAAAGGCCTGTGAGAAGCACATCACATCCCCAAACGCCCCCCTGAAACCCAGCCGGCAGGGGACGGTCACACAAGCCACCTCAAGACCGGAGGCAATGGTGATGGGCCATCCCTGCCCTCCCCAGATCGATCCAGGCCCCCTGCTCGTCAGCCCCAGTCCATACCTGTGAGCAGAGCTGGTGCATAACGTGGCCAAACTCATGGAAGTAGGTCTCCACCTCATCGTGCTGCAGCAGGGACGGTGTGTCCTGTGTCGGCTTGGTGAAGTTGGCCACCATGGCAGCAACGGCGATCTGGCGGCTGCCGTTGGCAAGCAAGCAGCCCGGCTGCAGCCCAAAGCAGGCGGCATGGCCGTATTTCCCCTCCCTGGGAAGAGGAGGCACCGTCAGAGAGCCCCAGCTACACACAGGGCTACACCACGTTTGAGAAAAGCAGCAGTTCAGAAACAACAACTCCTCCTCACCAAACTTTGGGAATTAATCACAGGATAAGCTCTAAATGAATGAAAATGCTCACAAATTACAACAGCTTGACTTGTCAGTTTGCAATTTCAGAAAAAATCAGGAGCATCAGTGCTGGGACACACGATTTCAGACACCGCTGTATTTTTCACACTCCAGGGAATAAAGCAGACATGTTTATAGCAGGTTAGGGTAGAGAGTAGGTAGGTTTTGCTACTGCCTCAATAATACATTTGCTTGTTAGCACAGCACTGCGAGGAAGTTCGCAACTGATAAAGAACATGAAAAAATGGTTTGGGTTTGAAAAAGATCAGGAATGGAATTGTACTGTGGGATTATCATCAAACAGAACTATTCTGTACCATTTGTCACTGCACATGGCATTGTTCAACACATTATGCGCTGTCTGACATGATCCCGGCATGGAGCACTTCCAAGCAAAAACCTCAAAGCTCCGATGCACACAGCACATTTCAGGCAGGCCACGGTGGTTTTGTACGTTCCGTGGTCTGCTGGATTGCCCACACCACCACGGCATCTCAGCGTGGCACACCTGGCTGTGAGAAACCGCTTGCAGAAATGAAGGCAGGCCTGCGGTTTCTGGGTGCCACGGTTGTACTGTCTGAACCGGAGGCCAGAGCCACAACCGGGAAAGAGCAGCCCACTCCATTCCTTCCAAATTGCTGACCAGAGAGCCCCACTGACACCTGCCATTTGGTGCAAATGTTGGAGGCATCCTCGGTCCTCCTGCCCCGACAATCTTTGTGGTGCAGGACTGGGCAATCCACTGGTCAGAACTGCGCGAGGAGTTGTGGGAGTCCCCCAAGGGGCAGTGCAAGAAAGCAAAGTGGCTGCTGAGGAAGCTTTACAAATAGCTGAGGAAAGAAGCGAAGCGAAAGGCAAGGGAAAAAGAGAAAGATACACCCAATTGAATGCAGAATTCCAGAGAATAGCTAGAAGAGATCAGAATGCCTTCTTAAATGAACAGTGTAAAGAAAGAGAAGAAAATGATAGAATAGGGAGGACCAGAGATCTCTTCAAGAAAATTGGAGATATGAAGGGAGCATTTCATGCAAAGATGGGCAAGATAAAGGACCAAAATGGCAGGGACCTAACAGAGGCAGAAGAGATTAAGAAGAGGTGGCGAGATTACACAGAAGAACTATACAAGAAAGAGCTTAACGTCCCTGATAACCACGATGGGGTGGTCACTGACCTCGAGCCGGACATCCTGGAATGTGAAGTCCAATGGGCCTTAGGAAGTCTGAGCAACAACAAAGCTAGTGGAGGCGACAGTATTCTAGCTGAGCTATTCAAAATCTTAAAAGACGATGCAGT